GCCTTATCCACCTGGCCATGCCGGGCCTCCACGTCTGCGGACTTACAACGCTAGAATCCGGGTTTCGATACCCGTGGTGGGCAGAGCACAGATAGCCCATTGTGTAGCTTTGTGCTTAATTACAAAACAAACAATTTTGGAACAAAGCCACATTAGGCTATCTCCTGTGTTCACCGCAGGAAATCGAACCAATGTTCCCTCTAATTTGTTCAATCCATGTGCGGAATGAACTTTTTCATGTGCAAGGCAATGTGCACTAACAGTTTTTTTCTTTCTTTTTTTGGGGCGGGGGGTATTTTTAGACCATCAACACTATTGGATCATTAGGCCACTTTGCAATGTTACCAGTTGGTTATCTGGGCTTTAGGCCTATCGATTGCCAGGGTCATTAAGACCGTCAACGTGTTGATACTCCTCACCATTACTGAGGATGTGCGCGGCACTTGATTGGCTGTTGTGCGGCTGCGCAGCTTAGTGAGAACACTGAATCGAATCCTGGATTTTGGCGTTATAAGTCTGTAAACTTATCGCTGTCCCATAGGGAGACCCTAATTTAATAGAAATACACGAGCGTCTTCGATATTGTCAGCTCTTACCAGTTAAATGAACAGGTCAGAAACTCTAAGTTCAGATACAGCCATTATAATTTGGAGCTGCTAACCAGAGGGATGGAAACCAATCAGTAGCGCTTGCCGCCTATGCGGCTACTGTCAACTGAATAGCGAGATTGGCTGTCACAGTTATAACGCTCTCATAACTTAAAAGTGCGGAACGTATTCATCAGGCTATCGCGACTCGAACCTTCTGATTTGCAGGCCGACGTGCTAACCACTAGGCGATACAAGGCCAGACGAGGCTTGTAAACATTAATAACTCTTGGCGATAAAATACTCTTCGTTACTTAAGGCTCAACTTATTATGAAATCAAACACGAAGAACTGCGATAGCGACACTTACATCAACGATATGATGGCTGTTGTTCCTATAGTCCGGAGTGACAGACAAATCCAGCAGAATGTCGTGGCTGTATCCATGCTTACGGAACTTGAAAAGAGTCTCCAACCAATCGAAGTTCGATCCATCCCATAATTCTCCTTCCACAACGGGCCAACCTCCCATTTCAGAAAGGACCTGCTGTAAGGGCTCGGATCCCTTTTTGTCAATCGTTTCTTTAAAATCAAAGAAAGAAAGAAAGAATCATCATATAAAAGAAATGAAGTGTTTATGTCCGATTAATTCACTTTGGAATCAAATTACAAAAACAGAAATTTACAGTAATATATCTTCATATTAATTTTATTTAAGCACAAAGCAACACAATGGGCTCTCTGTACTGTGCCCAGTCGGTTTCCTTTTTAGAGTTATAAGCCATCAAACCTACCGCTGAGCCATTGGAGAGTGGGGGGGGGGGGGGCATCTTCATATTTAATCACAATACATTTCCATTCAAAAAGAATGTGAGGGGGGGAGTGCTACTACGAAATACGGTTATACTCGTCAAGTAAAACACTTCTTAAATATTTCATCTGTATAGCTAAAGCTAATTAATTTCAAATATTATTTATACATATCAAACTTAACTTTTAACAAGCAAGAAGTGTTTTATAACACGTTAAGTTATCTAAGGTTTTTTTTATCACAACACGCGTTTTTGATTTCTTCACTTTCACACCCCGTCTTTGCGATGATGTTTCGTTGAACAGTTCCCGTCTTTGTGATGCTGTTGTTTTGTTGAACAGTTCCCGTCTTTGTGATGATGTTGTTTTGTTGAACAGTTCCCGTCTTTGTGATGATGTTTTGTTGAACAGTTCCCGTCTTTGTGATGATGTTTTGTTGAACAGTTCCCGTCTTTGTG